TTTAAATGCTGGCCATGATTCATTAAACTGAACTCATAAGGGTTTGCACCTGATGCAGGTTATTTTAAGGCAATGGAATTGACCACTAAGAATATAACCAGAAATCTGTAAGCAGAATTTTAGATCAGAAAAACCTCCATCCTGTGCATGAAGTCATTGTTTTACGATTATCTTTGTCATTGTGCTAAATTTAAATTGATTTATCTACCATCCCATGATGAAGTCCGTATGTATATTACGCATTCCTCATAGTGTGTCCTTCAGCTGTTCATTTAAATTGCTGGTAAATTTCCCAAAGAACCTTATTTCCTTATATAAGTAGGCTTATATTACTCTAGATAAAAATAAATTTCAAGGTATTGCCCACACCCTTTTCTAAGAGAAACAGAGATTCTGAATTTTTGTTTTATTCTACTGCTGTGAATTCAAATATTTTATTTTCTTCTAAGGTAAACAGTTGCTTCACTACAAATTAGAGACGGACTATTGACAACAAACCCTCCTAAGATGGTGGCAAGGTAGCTTCATAAAAAACAAAGTGTAATCCTCATTATTCATTAGGGGCATTCAGGATCAGTTATTCAACCATCTGTCCAAAATGCTATAGGAAAGATTTTCAGCTTTGGCTGGAAATGTCCCTTTTAACTTTAATATCCTATTATTTTTGACAATATGCCTGAGATTCTCTTAGCTCAAAATAAATCCCGCATGTACATTGCTGGAAAAAGATACCGTGTGTCTGGAATTTATCTGTGACCTTTCCCTAAGGTTTTCAATTAATTCACATCAAAATAATTTTAATGTCATCAGTGGTACAAATGCTTATATTTTAGGAAGCACAATACTTGTTGTATTTCAGAGATAGAAATACAGGCTGCACATCATCTAGCTGTGGGCTGAAATCAATCTATTGCTCAGGACTGACTATCAGCAGCTAATTAAGGGGAGAAACAAGTTCCTTTTTAATTTCTAAGAAAAGCAGTAAAAGTTAGCTTGTGTTTTAATTTTAAACCCAAACAGCCAGTAATTATGCTGTCTCCAGGAGGCCAAGGTTTTTCACTTGATAATTTAATTCAGCAAGCATGGCTCTGTAATGGGCGAGTGGGGTGGGGGGACTAATGATTAAAAAAAAACAAAAAAGCCAGATTTGGCTCTACTGAATTTTTGACCACTCTATGCACCAGAGAACATCTGATCTTTTAACTAAGTACAAGTTTTTTAAATATTAGTTTTTTGGCAACACAGTCAATACCAAGGTTAATATAAATATAGCCATCTAATTTGGGCACATACAAGGATTCTCCATATATAAACACTAATCTGTTAAATGACAGCCTAAGATATCTAATAAGTATACTGTCATTCCCTAATTTACACACACACACACCCCTACTGGTCTGAGGCATAAGGTAAATAAATTTTTAAGTACATTCACAAATCTACAAGCAGATCTACATGTATTTGGATACTTATAACAAAGGTAGCAGCTCTGCATAGAAGTAGAGAAAGGGTGGTCTTTTCCAAAAATGTGTTAAAGATAAAACAACAGGCCCTAAGTAGAGTTGATTATGCTAAGCCCCATGCCACAAACTGAAACTTAACTTACAGTTTTGGCTGTCCCAGAAATTGAACCTTACACCAGCCAATCATGAATCGCCTGATCAGCATGACTTAGGTCATCTACCTAAAAAGCCCTTGCTATCATACCCCACAAGGAATGTAACCTTATAGTAACCAATCCAATTTTTGCCTACTGTAACGCCCCCCCCCCTTCTGCCCATAAAAATGTCTTGCTGGGAGAGCTCTTCAGAGCTCTTTTTTCTCTGCTCCACTGGATACTGTCAATTCATGAATCATGGCATAGAGCCAGTAAGATCTTTAAAACTTACTCAGTTAACTTGTGTTAACAATTGGTTCTGGGTCAAATGAATAGCCATATAGGAAAAAATATAACCTGACCCATACTCCTTTTCGCGCACATGCGCTCGCGCGCGCGCGCACACACACACACACACACACACACACACTTCTACTAGATTAGAAATCTAAATGTGAAAGGTAAAAACAACAAAATTTCCAGAAGACAACACAGAAAAATACCATGATGAACTTGGCATAAGGAGCAATTTCTTAAAGAACCAAAAAATCGCTAAAGGAACAATTACTCATCAAAAACACCACTGAGAAAGTGAAAAGGGCGGGGTGCCTGGGTGGCTCAGTTGGTTGAGCAACTGCCTTCAGCTCAGGTCATGATTCTGGAATCGCAGGATCGAGTCCCGCATCGGGCTCCCTGCTCAGCAGGGGGGTGTGCTTTTCCCTCTGAACTTCCCCCTCTGATGCTTGCTCACTCTCTCTCTCATTCTCTCTCTCTAATAAATAAATACAATCTTTTTTAAAAAAAAAGGTGAAAAGGCCAGCCACAGACAAGAGATATTTGCCAACACAGATGTCAGACGAGAGTCACATCCAAAATCTATATAGAACTTCTACATTTCACTAAGTAAAAAAAAAGGGGGGGCAGACAAACCAGCAGAAAGAGTAGGCAAGAGACAAGTACTACACAAAAGAGAATATCCAAATGACCAATAAATCGTGCTCAAGTTCGTTAGGAATCAGGCAAGTACAGATTGGAACTGCAGTTTCCCTATACTTGCTGATCGAAATAACTACAATTTAAAAGGCCAGCCATATCAAGTGTTAGGACGTGGAAAGATAGGAACATAAGGTGCTGCTGGGGATTTAAATTGGTTTAAGCACTTTGACAGCATCCACTAAAGCAGAACATAATGAAAACCATTATGATCCAGCAATTGTACCAACAGACGTGATTAAGAATAGTCACAGTGAACTATTCTTAATAACCCCAAACAAGCCTTATCTCTATCTACAAATATATGATGTCATACTCACACAGTGGAATACTACAGAGCAAGGAAAATCAGCAAACTACCTCTAGAGACAGCCCCATGAACACATCTCACAAACATAATATTGAGCTAAACAAAAGCCAGTCACAAAAGAACACCAGACATTCACACTGATAAGAAGTCCCCGCATTCAGGATAGTTAACTCTGGACAGTAAAAGCAAAGGGGGTAATGACCAGAAAGAGTGATAGGCGGGGTTGCCCCGAAAAATACAAGATGTCCAGTTAAATTTGAATTTGAGATCAACAACAAGCAAGCTTTCAGTCTAAGTGGGTCCCATGCAGCACTGGGGACACGTATTTTTATCTGCTCAATCTGACAACCCCAATCAAGAGAGAGGCTGTGGGGGTTGCCTGGGTGGCTCAGTGGGTTAAAGCTTCTGCCTTCGGCTCAGGTCATGGTCTCAGGGTCCTGGGATCGAGCCCCGCATCGGGCTCTCTGCTCAGCGGGGAGCCTGCTTCCTCCTCCTCTCTCTCTCTCTGCCTGCCTTTCTGCCTACTTGTGATCTCTGTCAAATAAGTAAATAAATAAAATCTTTGGGGGGAAAAAAAGGGAGAGGCTTTTGGAGTACTGGTTAATACTTCGTTTCTTGATGTTCATTTGGTGTTCATCCATTATGCATTTCTCTGCACTTGTTGTACTTCCCAATAAAGACAAAACAAAGTACACTCAGTACAGTTTCGTGGATTTTAAAATGTCTCATGATAGTGCTACTCGTCATCACTGCATGTGGGAGCTGGGTGCCTCTTAGGAGGGGGTCATTGGTCATCTAAAGCGTTGCAGGGCCCAAGCCGTGGGCTCTGCTTTCAATTTTTATTAAAATTATTCCTACGTAACATGCTTTTTTATGTCTGGAATCTTTTTGCGTGGCCTCCCTCTCTGGGGTCCTCCTTCCTGGTATGGCTGGCTGAAGATTAGCAAAGGGCGAAGCTGGGCGGGAAGGCCGGCCTTTACCCATCAACCAAAAAATTACACAAATCACGGTTCAACAAGCAACTCGGTCAGGCCAACCGACCCGTGGAGGTCAGAATTCAGTGGCCTGAAGCTGCAAAGGACTGGGACTTCAGGGCCAACAACTTGGAAACAGACACTTTGGAATCCAGAAGGTCAAAGTCTTCATTCAATCCACTGCCTGCGCTCTACATTAACCAGAGCTTTACACAAACACCTTGAGGGGCTCCCTGGAGTTCCCTCCCACCTGTGTTATCACCTACCTTCTTCTGGAGACGCAACTGGCAACCCCCAGGAAAATGTGACCAGTGTAAAGGAAAGCACGAATCACTTTTTTGCTGTTGTTTAAATAAGGGGCTATTTATTATAGACAAGATTCTTCGGTGCTCAGGGTTTTTTGTGTTGTCGTGTTGTTTTGTTTTGTAATTTCATCTTCTTTTGAAATAAGCTCCTCTCAGTCCTCAGCGAGGAAAAAACTCCAAGTTTGGAGGCTTCACTCTATAAAGCTTAGGACAGAACTTTACAGACTGGTGGAACCCTGATTACCTCTCGGCCTCAGCAGCCTCCAGGGGCCCAGGTTTCTTTGCTTTAGTAACAGCAACTCTATTTCTTTCTTCCACATGGGCTATCAAGGACAATGACTAGGCACCTGGGCTGTGAAGACAGGTTGTCTGGGAGAAACCCAATTTCACACTGAAGCTTTGTAACTCTGGCCAGTCAGGGAGTGATTCACTGCTCCGTGCCTCAGTTTCCTCAGCTGTAAAATGGGAATAAAAATAGGACCTAAGCAGCAAATGCCGTGCAAGGCGACTGAAGCATGGCACCTGGCATAGCTTACACGCTCAACGATGGTTGTTACCACCTTCACTACCCCTGGCTACGTTCGCGGGTCCTGCCCCCCATGAAGAATCTACTTATATATCTGCTGTAGTTAAAAGCAACCAGATGCAGTTAGACTGGGGGAAGGGGAGACAGAGATTAAGGGTTCCACTGGCCTACAAAGTTTGGTCCAAGTTGTGCCCAATGCAGCAGGAGGATGCTTGCATAGGGTCGGGGGAGGTGGCCACGCCTGGACCCCAAATTCTGGCCCAGATCTCTGACTTCGGGCGCCCTCATTACTCACGTTGCGGCTGAAACTGTTGCCAGGCAGCAGCGGTAGGGCCATGGCTCTCAGCTTCCGAGGGTCAAGGGGCCGAGAAGAGGGGCCAGCAGGGAGCGGCCACCTCTCGGCGGCGTTGTTTAAGCCCCCACCCCCCCACGTTACCTGGAAACGGGAGGCGGCGTCACGGAAGGAGGAGGAGCTGCGGCTGGTCGGAGGGGGCGGGGCAGGGGCGGGGCCAGGCAGGAAGTACCCCCGCGCTCCTCCTCCCCCGCCCACTCTCACCCACCCAGCGGAGTGCGGTCTCCCGAGGCTTTTCTCTCCACACGCACTGTGCACACAAAGACAGACAACCACAGCAGTCCCCGCCCCCGCCGCTTTCTGGTTTAACCCCTTTCTAGTGCTTAGGCTCCTCCGATTCTAGCCGCATTCTTCGGCCATTGGCTTATTATATTTAGTTCAAACACAGAAAAGTGCAGAAAACAATGTGACATCCGCGCGATCTCAGAAATGTTAGCACCGCCTAATGTTACAGTTACGTCAGCTTTCATTTTGTAGTTAAAACGTTCGAGATGGATCCAAAACCACACTCCCACCCCACCCCCCACCCCGTGAAAACCCGTTCAGTCCTAACCACCATCCTCAGTCCAACTCCTGTACATTTTTATACATGAACTAAACGTGTGTAAGGTGCTTGTTCCTGGTCTCATCAGGGTGGCCGGGGCGGGGGTAGGTGGCACAAAACGCAGCGCCCGTCTTTCCATCATGCACCCAAAATGCCCAGGCCAGGAACCTCCTGGAATCATCTCCCCTCACCTACCGCCAACCCCTCCCTGAGTCATAATGCTCAGACGCTTTGGTATCTCTCAGTCACCCCTCTCTCCTGCTCGGTTGAGGCCCCATTATTTCCTGCCTGGTTTTCTTTAAAACAACCACCAAAAAAACAAAACAAACAAACAAAACACCACTAACTGATCTTCCCTCCAGAGCCATCCTCTTATAATTCGTGATACCTATGTCCGGGGTTGCCTTCCAATACTTTCGTCGCTTTCTTTGCCCCCCGCCCGCCCCAGCTCTGAGAAACCACTGGCAGTTTCCAAACAGGGCTCTGTGGTTTCTCTCCTGTGGATTTTGCAATTGTCACTATCTGCTAGAAACACCCTTCCTTCCTTTCATCTGGGTAACCCCTTCCTATTATTCAGGACTTGGTCCAGTGTGGGAAAGAGACACAGAAGGCTTTGCCATTTCTGGGAAATATTCCTTCGTCTTCTCCACTCCCCCATCTGTATTAGGGGCCCTGTCATTGTGGCTTCAGTGGTAGTGAATTGTAATCATACTCATTTGACTTTCTTCAAATGCCAAATTATTCCAAGGCAGGAACTCTATCTCCTTTCTCATATACAGACAATGTTAACCTTAAAAATAGAAGTTATTTTAGCACCAAGAATGGATTTATTCAGGAATGGCAGAGAATTGCAATTTGGGAATGGCAAAGAATTCCAATTTGGAACATTCTAGCTGCAGCAAAACCCTGAGTCAGTCTAACAAACAAAGGAGAGGAATGTTACTTTATGGGAAAGAAGGAGGAAGTTGGGAGGGGTTGTTCTGAACAAAAGTCCATTGCAGAAAAGCAAGAGTTCTGAGTGATTAGGGTTTCTCATTGGCTGAATTGCAGGGGTAGTTGATTTCTTACAGGAGATACAATGTACAGCTTTTTCCTATTGGAGTCTGTAATTGATCATTCTTTCAGCTGAGAATTCTTCTGCTAGGGCCTGTAACTGACAATTCTTCCTGTAATTGACATCAAGTGGTACCAGCTCCCTCTTCTAGCCTCCCAACTCCGTATCAGTGAGGTTTCCCTTTACTAATTTTCACAACATAAGTCACCATTTTCTTTGTTTACAACATACATACTGTTCTCTATGTTTATAAATTTTGCACTATAAATTGCTGCTACCTGCTTTTTCCACCTAAGATTTTTTTGAGATTTCTACATGTTAACAGATACAGATATATTTTATTCATTTTAAATGCATTGTATGATTATACCACAAATAACTGATCCATCTGTTGTCATCTGTTGATGTCATCTGTTAATAACAATTAAGTTGCTTCCAATTTTTCACTAGTTATTATCAATGCTGCAATGAACAACCCTCTCCTATTCCTTTAGAGATTATCCACGTGCCTAAATATGGAATTGTTCACAACTTCAACTTCACTAGATCTTGCTAAACAATCTCCAGAATTGTTGAACCAGTTAAGAAAGTTCCTTCTCCCCTTCATTCTTTCAACAATGGGTATTATCCAATCGTATAATTTTGAGCAAGTATCTAACTATATATTCAATGGTAAATGGTTGTTACTTTAAATTTTCTCCCTAATTCCTATGCAGTTGGTTATCTTTTCACATGCTTGTTACCTTCTTCAATGATTCCTCTATTTATATCCTTTGTTAATTTCTGTATTTGATCATTTGTAATTTTTAAAATATGTTCTATATAATCTTAGGCATAGCAAACCTTCTCCTAGTTTGTGGTTTGTCTTTTAATCCACTTAACAGACTTCTTTGTTGTATGTGAATGTGTCATTTTACTTTACTCAAATAGATCGTTCTTTCCCACTATGGTTTGCACTTTCTGTGAATTCAAAAAATTCTATAGAACAAAATTATCCTCTTACATGTTCTTACAAATAGTTTTAAGTATTTCTTTCTTGTTACTTTTTAAATTGAGACAGTTACAACCCAGTAGAAAAACTGCAAGAATAGTACAAGGAACTCCTGGTTATCCTCTCCCAGATTCCTCCAATTGTTTTCTATTTTACCATATCTGTTGTATCATTCCCTCTACACATACAATTTTTTTTCCATTTTAGAGTAAATAGCAGACATCACGCCCCTTTACTCTTAAATACTTCAGTGCGTATTTCCTAATAATGAAGACATTCTCTTACATAACTGAAGTACAACAATCAAAATCAAAACCTTATTATTAACAAAATGCTTTCTAATCTAAAATACCTATTCAATTGTTAATATCCCTCTTAGCAAAAAAAAAAAAAAAAAACCCAAATTTTAAAAAATCTGGTCTAAAATCTGACCTAACATTCTTCATTAATTGTCCTATCTCTTCCTTATCCTTTAATCTGGAACACTTCTTCCCATCTTTCTTTGTCTTTCCTGACCTTGATATTGTTGAAGAGAATTGGCCAGATAGTTGGGAGAATGTTATTCAATTTAGATTTGACTAACGTTTCCTGGTTACCTAATGAGTCGATTCAATGGCTTTTTGAATGGTTTTTTGTTTATGGCTTTTTTAAAAATTTCTTTTCAGCGTAACAGTATTCATTGTTTTTGCACCACACCCAGTGCTCCTTGCAATACGTGCCCTCCTTAATACCCACCACCAGGCTCACCCAACCTCCCACCCTCCGCCCCTTCAAGACCCTCAGGTTGTTTTTCAGAGTCCATAGTCTCTCATGGTTCACCTCCCCTTCCGGTTTCCCTCAACTCCCTTCTCCTCTCCATCTCCAACACCAAAAGAGAAATGCTGTGTCCTCATTCATCAAAGGAACAGGTACGTAATGAGTATTTTAACCATCAATGCTGAGGTTAAGTGTGACCACTTGGTTAGGGTGGTGTATGCCAAGTTTCTCCCCTGTAAAGTTACTATTCTTCCTTTCTGACTAATAAGAATTTTGTGAGGAGATACTTTGAGACTGGGTAAATACCAAGTTCTTCATTAAACTGCTAGCGTCAGTCGAGGATTTTGCCCAAATCATTTATGATGCTGCCAAATGGTGACTTCTTAATTCCATCATTCCTTCCGCACATATTAGCTGGCAATCTATTTCGAGGAAGAAGTTTTCCTTCCTCTCCTCCTTCCTTTTAATTGTTCCAACATTTTTCAAGCACTTTTTTGTGCTTGTCACTGCAAGATAGTCAAGATATCTATAAATATAGGCAGATCTAGATATTCACATTTAGCTATATCCCTTTCCATTTCTGTCGATGATAGATAAAAAAAGATACGTTAAAACCCATGCTTTTATACTGATACATCCAATTCCAGTCAATACAGTGGAGTACATGCTGGAGTTCCTCTTTCCACATCGGTAAGGCTCATCTCCAATAGTCAGAAACCTGATTCCAATTACTGTCAAAATATTTACGTATTTGCTCATACTAAAAGACCCCAAAAGCCATTTCGGAATATCTAACTGATGTCAATGTCAGAAAAAATGAACCTATTAACTAGAGTTCAACATTTATTTCCAGAGTTGTTTTTTTCTTCAGCTTTACTGGATTTAGTCAAAATACTGTTCCAAAATGACTTAGGCTGGATTTCCTCCTCCTCTTCCCCCCTCTCTTGTTTAGAGCACCAATGTTACTTATCTTACTCATTTGAAAAACAATCTGGTTCATTCTCTTTTGTATTCCTCATCCTTTTGCTCCATTTTTGTCTTGTTCCTCTTTGTCTTCTTTTGAAGTTGTTTTTCCCCCTTTTTCCTTTGATTAATTTAGCTAGTGGGTTACGTGCTTTGTTACTTTTTCCAAAGAATCAAAATTTTGACTTATTAATTTGACCTACTGCTTTTAGGGCACCAGGCTGGCTCAGTCGGTAGAGTGTGCAGCTCTTGATCTCAGGGTTGTGTGTTCAAGCCCCACATTGGGTATGGAGCCTACTTAAAAAAAAATTGTGACACTACTGCTTTCCAATCCTAGTCTTCATTATTTTTCAGCTCTTACTTTTATTGTTTTCTTACTTGTGCTTTCTTTTCATTCATTTGTTGTTCTTTTTCTCACATTTTACATTGATATAATTCATTCATTTTCATTATTTCTATTGATGTAAGTGTTTAAGGCTCCGAATTTTCCTCTGACCTCTACTTTAAATGTATCCATTGGTCTCTGATATATAGTGTTTTCACTACTTGTTTGTTTGAGGGTTTTGGGGTGGTTTGTTTCTTTAGTTATTTGTAATCTTGGCTTATTATCTTCCCTTTCACCCAAGAGTTGTTCAATAGAAGATTTTAAAATTTCTAGTTGGAAGGGCTTTTTGGTTTTTGTACTTAAAACTAAGTACACCTTTTGGTACTTACAGCTAGAATTCTAGCTTTACTGCACTGTG